AATCACATATGTATGCTTCCATCTTCAACTTATTATATTGACCCTTCTGGTTTTCTTCCTTGTAGGTATAATTTACAGGGATTTGAAGCCTGAAAATGTTTTACTTCAGAGCAATGGGCATGTGTCCCTGACAGATTTTGATTTATCCTGTTTAACATCTTGCAAACCGCAGGTATCGCACCTGTTAATCTTCTTACTTCGGAGATCTATATTTTAAAGAAAAATAATTGAAATAAAAATTCCTTGATCTTTTTAGAAGAGAAAAAGTCTTTTCCACTCCTTGGTTTTGTTTAAAATATAAAAGGTTAAATTGACACCATTCTATTTCATCTTATTGGCACCTCCTAGAGTTGTTATTAACTGGGTTATGTTCTCCTTTCAGCTTTTACTCCCAAGAATAAACGAAAAGAAAAAACAACATAAAGGTCAACAGAATCCAATCTTCATGGCTGAACCAATGAGAGCATCAAATTCCTTTGTTGGCACTGAAGAGTACATAGCTCCGGTCTGACACTTTGTCATCATCTTTTTAATTATTTTTCTTAATAGTTCCTTGATTGAAGAAATGCATGCTTCATGCCCTTATCTTGAAATAACCAACACCTTTTTTTTTAATAGGCAAAGTGCATGATATAAGCACCAGTAACGCAAATTATTGAACTTTGATATTTCTCTGTTGCATATGCTATGATGAATTCCCTTGTTATGTTCCATTCTATAACATGCCACAGGAAATCATTCAATTGCTAGATAGACATGAGAAATCTCCATGTTTAGTTGCTTAAGCTTCCTCTGGTTTGATTGCTAGTCATACAGAAAGTGAAAACATCTTGGGGAAGTTCATAACATACTAAATATAGCTAGGCTTGAAAGTTTTTAATCCAGTTACCATTAGGAGTTTGGTTGCTAAAAACTTGCTAGTTGTGCTAGTTAAAGTGTAGAAATTTAATGTGGAATCAAGTCGTATAGAACTCTGATCAGCCGGAAGGAAATAGGAAATTTATCCCTGCTTCCGATACCCTACCATCTCAATGGAATTTTGTTTCATTATACCTTCCAGATGATTTAATGTTCTACAGTTGTAAGTTT